CGCGTGCGCGCGCGCGCGCGAGGGAAGAGAGTTTCTTTATTTCCGCGACGTGATAAATAATCAGACAGTGCCGATATCTTGGATTAGACCGGATTATCGCCGAATCGTCGGCCATTATCACTGGCCCGCCATCAAACATCGCCGCGTGGACATTTATCGGCGTAGTTGGGATTTATTATCGCGGCCGACGGCGGACATTTTTCTTCCGCGCCTCGACGGCGCCGTACCTCCCGGATTCCCGATCGATCCCTTCGATCCCGCAGGATCTTCGCTCTTCGTTAAGGCCACTCGTACCGTGCCGGATCGTCGCATCGAATTCGCTGTCGCCGTTAATCCTCCTCGCTGATATTTATTCCGAGTGTAATCGGAACGAGAGGCAGAGCCACAGACTCGCTAACTAAGCGTCCCAAGACGTTAAATCGTACTGCCGATTCGCCACGGAGGGCCCCTCCATTATACCGACGCGCGAGTTCCGAGCGAATTCATCGCGACAGACCGCGCGTCTCAACGAACTTTAGAAACAACCTTTTAATGGCTACAAAATTTCCGTAATTTTATTATCGCGCATTAGAAGACTATTCGATTATTAGCTGTAATGTACGGCGATCAATATTTTCTTTGCGAGCAATCTCATTTATGTGTTTCGCTAAAAATATCTTGGAGATTGTTAAGGGAGAAGGGAAGAGAGAGAGAGAGAGAGAGAGAGAGCTATTAATTTCATTGTTGTAAATGCAATTATTTAATGAACTTGATAAGTGTCGAAAGAGAAAAAATGTTAAGGCCAGAGTCGCACGATAGTGCTAAAAAAGCTGTGGAAACACAGGTGATCGCCGCGATGCAGAAGCAAGGTAATGCGTTTTCCTAATTATATATATGGATCAATTGACGATGTGGAACCCGGCATAACTTAAATTATAAATTATTGCATTTAGTGCCTAAAACTAAAATAACAGTCATTTATACTTCTGTTTAATACTCCATTGTACGTGCGTTCCGATTAATTTTATAAAATGTCAAGTAAAATCGACTCGTGCAAATTTTTTCAAAGGATACACTTTAAACGCCGTCAACAGTTGCGACGAGAATCTGCTGCACGTAAGCGCGGCGAACGGCTGCCTCGGGATCGTGAGGGAGATTTTGGACAAGAAGGAGAACCTCCGTGTCGTGGACAGGAAGAACAAATTTGGCTGGACCCCGCTGATGCAAGCAATTCGCAATGGAAATATCGATACTGTGAAATTGCTCTTGGAGAGAAATGCCGATGTTAATCAAATGACTTACCTCGGTGAGCGACAACTATTTTTCGGTATCAAAATTTTTTCGGTAGTCAAAATTTTAAAATGCCTGCATCGACATATCTTAATTAATAAACGAGATTTGTTGCAAGTTCTAGAAGATAAATTATTCTATAGAGATCATATTATCGAATTAAATAATGACTTCAAAACGAGAAGCTGACAACGCGATCTGCGCGCTGCGACGTTATTTTAAGGGGGATCCTCTTTCCTTTTTAATTACTGCAGGCATGTCGGCCCTCGGATTAGCCGCTGCGATCAGTAAGGAAATGTTCGAGACGGTGTACAACGCCTGCCCGGAAGCATTGGCGAACACGGCTAACGATGACATTACTCCACTATGCGTGGCTGCCATGAAGAACGACAAGGAGCTGTTTCTGAGATTGCTGAAATCAGGCGTGTTCTCGACCACCAGTTAGACGATTTTTCTTTATAAAATTCCTGAACCAACATTTATGACTTGCATGATGAAACTTAATTACATTTATCGTTCATTTGATTCAAGTATGTTACGCAAAATGGATAAGTTTGTCGTGATAAGGATAATTATTGGATAAAAAATTTAATAAGAAATACATCAAGCAAAACATATCAATTTGAATTTAAACTAAAATAAAGATAGTTATTTTGTGAAATGGAATATTTTTTATTATAATTAGAAATTTGATAGAACGTTGCTTACCTTCTGCGTAGAATTTAAGAAAATTCTATTGAGAAATTCATAATCTATTTTTATTGATTGTATTTGTTATGCTTGTTATATTCCTTTTTTCCCATCATTTATCTATTATATTTTAAGTGAAGCGTAATGAAACATTTTCATGTCTAAGAAATTTGTGTATTGAGCGCAGATGGTTACACTCGCATTATGATGAAATGTTCCACGGTACCGGAAATAGCTGCTTTGGTGAACGAAGACCTGGTCGTGGATGATTATTGGAATGATACGTCGGATAACATTGAAGTGATAAGCGAACAGGACGTCGACAGTACGGTGAAAGATCGTTCAAACGATGACGAGAATAAAGGAGAAAAGCTCAAGCTGCACTTGTTGCCCGTGATTATGGAATCCGACAAGCAAAGCAGAATATCACCGAACTTAACGTACGATGTGTTCACGTTCCCGAAAGCTGCCGGAAAGGACAGTCTTACAGAGAAATCGAACGTTCCTTCTCTAGATAAAGATGCGAACGAAAAAACGACGGAAAACGATTTAGAACAGCATTCAGCAGCGGGCGAGGATCAGTCTAAATCATCTCCGGTTGCACGTCAAAAAAGGTAGAAAAACAGTGACAAATTTAGAAATTATTTAATAAGACAAAGTATCTTTTCCACATTGAATAAATGTTCCTTAAAATATTATTTCTTAGATATAAGAGAAACATAAGTATTTAATATATATAAATAATTTGAAAGAATGTTTAATAAAGTAATTTCAGATTTCAGTCGGTACGACCTGCGGATCTCGACATGAAGAATATCTCGTGTAATTTTAACGTCACTCTCGGGTTCTCGCCCGAATTCAGCCCTGTCAAATCGCCTCACGTGCCCGAGGATGTTAACGAGGAGAACGTGTTTGGAGAAAATACCCCGACGCCGCCGCGCTGCAAAACGCCACCGAAAGGGATGCTTCTGAACTGGCCGCAGACGAAAATGATTATGGTACTGAAACGCTTCGGATTGAGCCAACACATCTCTGTATTTCTCGAACAGGAAGTATGTTTTTAAAGAATACGTTCGATTATTAGAGTCGTTAGAATGTAGATAAGCGATGATATTCCTTGCAATTATAGCTTAATTATGGATAACTCCATTATATTGATTGCCATAATTTCTAAATGTACATGATTTGATTTATTTTATCCTAGGTGGACTTTGACCTATTTTTAACACTTACGGATAAAGATTTGATTGAGATCGGTATTGAGCATGAGAGAGACAGACGTGATTTGCTGGAGGCAATAAAGGAATGCATAAACCGTAAGACATATTAATATTTGGATAATTTTTATTTATTGATTAACACAATTTGTCGCTGATTTGAAAATTTTAACGCATTATATGTTTCTTTTGCTTATGTTCTAAGAGATAAATAATCTTCGATTTATATAATGAAATTAATTTATAACTTATAACTTGAATTTATTTGTTCACTTATTTATATTCTGATCTAAAATTGATTTTCTAATTAGTAATACTTTCTTCTACAAATTGTTATTATACATTGTCGTGTTTTAAATCGAAAGAAACAAGTAATAATATAATTGTTATTGAGACAGCAAATTTATATAGAAATATTTCTTTAAAAATTCCTTAGCAACTTTTCCTTCAAATTTTGATTTTTGGATTTTTCTTCTTTGTCCATCTGCTCCTTTAATGTAATATCGTTATTAACTATTTCATTATTATATGAAAAATTGCTACAATAAGTTTGCGTGCACAATAATATTTACCTCAGAGGGTTTGTTCTCAGATTTCTGTTCTTCTTGCTTAAAATAATACGACTTGCTTTCATCTTCCTGTACAGTTGGTTTGCTGGCCACGCTATCCGCGTCGTGTGATACTGTTAAAATACTACCAGCAGATTTAAGCAATTTATCGAAGTTGCTCGTGGAACACGGACCGGTTCGAAAATCGAAATCGTCGATCTCAGTCTTGCACGTAAGAGAATCTTTAAACCCCGGTAGCGACAATCGCGATCGTTTTGTGGGAATGTCGTACGTTTCAAGCATCTCAGACAAAGTAGTCGTCATACTACTGGATTTTCTAGTAGTTCGTGTGCCGTATCCCGAATCGTAAGCTAAATATCTATCAACCCTTGGTAACGCCGGTGCACAAACTAAGGCAGCTGCTTGATACGTATTCTGCGAAATCAGTTAACGCTATTAAGTGAGTATAATAGTCAAACGCGTATCGATTTAATCTGATTTAAGGCATATATATGCTGTGCTCTCACATCCGGGCATACGTCCAATTGGTGCCCGCATAATTTCGTTACTCTGCCTCGTAGATCTCCTACAAATTTGTAAATTCTGGATACCGGATCCATCGGTGGCGAAAGTATTTCTACAGGTCCCGAGGTTAAGCACGTTTCAGGATATACGTAAACTCTCGACTTAAAGTAGAGAAATTCGATATTGTAAAATAAGAGTTCTTCCTGCTCGTAATCTGGCAATATGTAGCCGTGCTAAAACAAAAGGAACAATGGCTCCTGGTAATGTACAAAGTTATATTTGGTCGATTTAATAATACTAAAAAATAACTCGATCACAAATTTATTTCTGAAGAATCGATTATTCTTTGTACGTAGCTAATTTTTATTTCAGCGAGAATAACAGAGTATAATTATATATAACAAAACCAATAAGATTGAGCCTAGGAGATATTAGGTTTGATGAGTTATAAATAGATTCGCATACCATATTTTTCCAATACTCGCGCATCTCCTCGTAATCCTTGAACATGTATTTCTGCTTAATCTCTTTCGATATGCTCACCACAGTTGCCATTTTCAAGCTGTGAATCGGAATTATATTATTACGCAATAACACTGCATTCAATTAGTAATTAATTCTAAAGTTTGGCGCAGAATTTTCATAATTTTGTAAAATGATTTATATATATTAACAGTAACAGAATTCCCATATATCTTTCATTACCTCGGTAGAACGCGTACTGGCGGCTGCAAATCATTTTGCAAAGGACGCGCGGTGTTCAATCTTAGGAAGGGTATTCTGAGATCTAAAGCCTCCACGTGAAACTGGGCGTTGTTATCTACAATATTTATTTCTTTACATGCAGCTATCTATAATCTCTTACAGCTAATCTAAATTATTCTTCGTGCTAAATAAGAAATCTCTGTAGTATATCAGTGAATATATGTATATGTAAAAACTTATACGTCTAACGTTATACGTTAAAAACCGGGGATTGTACCGCGGATGTCTTTAATATTCAGCGTGATCGCGCTGACGCTTCCCGTCGAGCTGAGAAAATCCTGTCCCTCGACGAGGTACAGCCCGACCTTGTTCCACTGCGGTGCCAGCTTGTATTCCACGGTGTAAACTAGACACATCTTGTAAATATAAGTCGGGAGGGGGTCGAGTAGATCGATCTGCGGAACATTCGCATGCCGCGATCAAGGAAACAATTAACACATTAATTAATCTCGCGCGAGAGAATTTGTTTCAGGAGACAACTTTCGCAGTTTCCTAGCGAAAATTAAGTTTTCTACGATCCGGCCCGCGGACACGTACCACCTCTAAGTTGAGAGCGTCGCAGTGGTCCCGGAAGGTGCAGCTCTCGATAAAGTCCTTCGCGACGATAATGTACAGGGAGCCGCCGAGCTCGAGCAATTTCCGATTAGTTATCGGGGCGGCCATCGCCTGAGGAGTCTCGCGAAGAAATTGCCTGAAAAAAGTCGGAACATTTTTCGCCTTAGGACACCGGATCTCCGTATTGGATCTTGACTCCAGGAGACTCGACTTCCAGACTTTCGCCTTTAATCCGCGTGTTTAATGTGCCAGCGGAACTGGAACAGTACGTGGTTGCGCCACGACGATACCGGATAATCGATATACCCACCCGCACTTGAGCCTGTTCCCGCAATAGTTGGAGTAGATCAGGGGATCGTTCTCGGAATTCACGATCTTGCAGATCACGCAGCAGAGATCGTCCTTCGGCGGTATAGTGACGTTGAAGATCTTCACGGTGGAGACCATAATTACGCTTTCGATCGAACGATGTGGAAAATGAGATTCGTTCCACGAATGCGAAGTTTGGGTGAAATGACGAATACGTACGTTATCGTATTTTTATAAATCCACCAAAGACAGATTAATCTAAAAAAAACGCAATAAAAACATATAACGAGACGAACGATTGCGATTCATTAATTGCGTCAGTCGCAAAAAAGTCTACTTTTTTGCGACTTTTTATATAATTAGAATGTAAGGTTGATTGGCATTGTTTCAATTCTTAGCAATGAAATTATGCTCCCGGAAAAACAGCAGGTTTTGCGAATTTAATGTTAAATTATATAATTCATAAAATTCTCTTTTCTTACGGGGCTCTCGAAATATATTAATCTACTTATTATTCCTCAATTGAAGGTATTAATCGATAGAAAGTAGGAATCAGCTTCTTGCAAGCGCACGATTGTTGGAAAATAATCGTCGTTAATGCGCGTTTTTTAAATGCGAATGAATTTCAAACTTAAAAGACAGGCTCGCGATTGGCTGAGGCATTTGGCGAGACTGATGCGCACGAAATTGAATTTACACTTTTCGCGCACCGCAGATTATTACACGCAAATTCATTTAAACATGAAAGTATAACGTACGAGGTATTTTCATCTTTCATACGTTTTGTAGATTATATCACGTTTTCTCGTTTAAATTCAATCTCATGTATGTAGCGCAGCTGCTTTTAGAGCGCAAGATGGGTTTCGTTCTTTGTCGCTGTTCTGCGTGTTATACTTTCTACACCTAAAATAAAATGAGTAATATTATTAGGCATTGAATAAAAAAAGAGGAAAGATAATGGTGCAGAAAGTGCTATAAAGAACGGAGCTGCAATACAGTGCAGGCAACACACTGAAGCACGCAGTCACGCACCGTGTTCGCTGTCGAGTGGTCGCCGGGATCCTAACCTCACATTCGGCGTTAATAAAGTCGATATACATATTTACATATTAATTTGAAACATGCTGAAAATATTGCGAGCTGCTGCTCGTTCGGAAAGAATTCGCGCAGCGAAATCCGAGGGGCTTAGACGGTGTAGCAATCAGGTTCGATCATGTTTCATCGTCTAACCTCACTTTATGTGCCTGAAACGAAATTGTTGTTGAAGTAGACAGGGGGTGTTTAGTGTTTTATTAATCATATAAGCGTGTTTAAAGCACTGGATTATTGTTACGTTTTACGAAAAAATTTTATTCTCATGATGATTCTCATTTTATTCATTATAATTATTTAACGGCAAGTCAAATTGGTTATGATATCAATTTTTATTATATATATGCTCTTCCGTTCTGCAGGCAACGCAGACCGAATATCCGAAGAGGATATTCTCCGGGATTCAGCCTACGGGAAACGTACATCTGGGAAATTACTTCGGCGCCGTTCGGAGATGGGTGGAGTTGCAGAACTCTGGCGAGTCGGTCCTGTGCAGCATAGCGGACTTGCATTCCATTACTTTGCCGCAAGTAAAATTTACGGCGGATGAAGCTTCTGTACTCCGGCGTTATCGCGTGCTGATAAACAATACGCGCAATTTGTAGAATCCCCAGAAATTGCGGGAGAACGCTCTGCTGATGGCCGCGACGCTGATAGCGTGCGGCGTGGACTTCAAGAGGAGTATCTTGTTCCAGCAGTCCAAAGTGCCGATGCACACGGAGCTGTGTTGGATCTTGTGCACCGTCACGACCATGGCGAGGCTGGCGCGTCTGCCGCAATTCAAGGAGAAGAGCGAGTCCTTAAAGAACGTGCCTCTAGGCTTGTATATCTATCCTGTTCTACAGGCAGCTGATGTGTTATTGTACAAGCAAGTATCTTGGATAAAAAAGATAATTCTCAATTATAATATCAGTACTTCAGGGAACGAATCTAGAATTCAAAACATATGAATATATAATAGATATATATTTACTTTCAAGTTTATTAAATTGATCTTCTGAAGTATTGAAATAATTAAAAATTACCCTATAATTTTCATGCAATGCAATAAGATATATATATGAAGATTTTTCTTTTAGAGCGACCCATGTTCCGGTCGGGCAAGATCAAGCTCAGCATATTCAATTGGCGCAAGATTTAGTGCAGATTTTCAACAGACAGTTTGGACAAACCTTTCCGGTACCACATGCCCTCATTAGCGGTAAGTTTTTAAAGCAGTGATCTTCAAAATTCAATCTCGTTGATTTGAATTTTGAAAATATCGACTGACAATTTAAATTGCTTTAAGATGGTCCGAGCCAGAGGATCAAGTCTCTACGCGATCCTACGAAAAAGATGTCAAAATCAGACACGGATCCCAAGTCCAGATTAAGTCTCTTGGACGAACCAGACGTATTGTTGGAGAAAATGAAGAAAGCTGTAACTGATTTTACATCCGAAGTAACTTACGAGCCAGAAAAACGACCAGGAGTGGCTAATTTAATTAATATACATTCTTTGTTAACTGGGAAAACGCCGGAGGAAGTATGCATGGAAGCCGTAGGTTTGAATACAGGACAGTAAGTATTTGAAAACAGCATTACATTTTATTATACATTCACTGAAAAAAGTGATTACTTTGGAAACTTTCATAAATACGCGAGCTAAATGAATATTATTATACTTTTTTTAATAGGTATAAATTGGTATTAGCGGATATAGTGATAGAAAAATTATCTCCCATTCGTAAAGATATATTGAGGTTAATCAGAGAACCTGCCTATTTGGACGAGATTTTGAAAGAAGGTGCAGAAAGGGCTACGGAACTCGCGACACATTGTTGGACGGAAGTTACGGAAAAAGTTTTTGGTAATGATATACAGGATGTGAAAAATATAACAAACACGGCGAAGGTTATGTAAAATATATAATTATTTATCGCTATTAAACGTTATATTTATAAAAAATATCTTAAATTTGAACAAACACATGTTTAATTCAATTTATTATCTCATGTCAATGACTAGTTTGCCTCTTAGATGGCCCTGCTCCACTCTTTCATATGCCTGTGGCAAATCTTGAAAAGGATATACCTGCTGAACGACCGGTACGATCTGCAAACACAGAATATAAAATATAAAATTACAGACTAACAGTATAAAAATGCACGTCGGGAATTTCTGGACACACCTGTTCGTTTTCCACAAGCTTTTGAAGAACGTCCATCCCCGTTTGGGAAGGTATAAAAAATCCCCATTTAACACAGCTTTTATTTTCTGCCGTTGGAATATTAAACTTTAGGAGATCCCCGAGATTCTTCGCCATTCCCATAATTAGCCCGTGATGATCAAAATTTCTTAACAGCGGCGAGTTTAATCCTATGTAAGCATCGTGGGGATATCCTTTTCTTCTGACGTACTCCGGCCCCTGATTGGCGCAATCTAAGATCATGTCATACCTGCAAATATAATAATATATGTAATATATATTGCATTTATTATACACTGAATTTCAGTTTAAGACAAAGTCACTTACGGTCCCTCCGAAATAATTTCTGCGTCAGCACCGTCTTTCTTGTAATCAATGACAACATCGGCATCTAAATTCTGCAGCATCTCCACAGCGTCGCCACTGCACGTACTAATTACCTAAACGAATTTAATGCTTCACATGTTGCGGACCTTAATGCGTTGTATGTGATCAAATATTTACATGCATGTTCCAAGCTTTCAGTAGCTGTATAGCCAAGGTGCCGACTCCTCCCGAGCCACCCATGACCAGGACGCGTCTGTTCATTCTCGTAACTATCGCCGTTTTGTAATATAGCCCTCCTGTGAACCATAACGCGGACCATGCGGTCATTCCGGCGTACAAGATACTCGCAGCTTCGATGCAAGACAATTTTCGAGGACGTGGATTTACCTTGCGGAAAGAAAAATCAGTATCGCGATAGATATATTTGTAAGTTGATTTGTCAGATTTAATATACCACGAATGAAACGCGTCTTACCAAGCTGCTGTCAACCACAAGGTAATTCGCGTGACAGCCCTGTTGGTCGATTGGGACCACTCCCCAAACTTCCTCGCCTATCTTGAGCCTGTCCCCTACATTGTGTCCCTTTGACACGACCACCCCTGCGAAATCTCTACCTAATGTCAATGGCAAATCTAATTCCTCCGACGTTCCAAAGGCCAAACTCTTGGTCTTGCGCATGGCATTAAAGAGAGTGTTACCATAGCCATCTGTAATAAAGTAAATAAAATTATTGTAATGTACACAGGACACTAGTCTTTTATCAACAGTGAGAGTAGCGATTAGGACTACATATAACATGTAACACTTGATTTCCAATCATAGGTCGATTTCAAATTTTACATGCCACTTTCAAGATAGAAGACACACGTATAATCAAGGGAGAATAGCGTACTCGTCATCGCGACGTCAATGGGATTCACGCTAGCGGCTTCGATCTTCACCAGGACGTCCGTGGGATTCGTGATTATCGGCATCCCGACGCTAGACAGCCTCAGGTCCTCCAGGCCATTATACGAGTGTATCTGCCAGGCCTGCATCCTGTCACCCGGATTCTCCTTCAAGTTGGCCGATAGTTTAGACAGAGAGCGAAGATGCACCGTTCGAACGGTGCATTTTAATCTTAAAATCGTCTTCCGCAGCATCTTTCTCGCGTATACGACGTTGCACCAAGTATTGGAGGTTAGGAATACACCTGTAAACACGATGTTTCCCTTGGGTTAGGTTTACTCTTAGACGCTCGACAACTGCGCTGCGAATTCTTTATGCGTTTTCAGCATTGCGGATATCGGATAAGTGAAAGAAGACGATAACAGGTCGAAGCTGCGCATTTTCTGATCTGTCGAGAGATGCTGTATTGCTGTCAGATGCTGCGAAGTGCGAGCGATCCGTCCGACACGTGTGACCACGTGTCATCCGAATCGATTTAAAAGGCCTGTCTGACGCGTCTTTTTCACTTTTGCGTATAAAAATAAAGCATGTGCTTCACCTCATTTTTCTTAAAAAAAAAAGCAATTCCATTTCCAAAGTATATATTTAACTATAATATATATTAAATATATATATTATAAATATGTGTATACATATTAAATATATGTATATATATATATATATATATATATATATATTTAACTCTGCCTGTATTTTATATACATACATATATGTTCCCTGTTCTCTTTCTTGAAATAATGAACGATAAGATTAAGTCTTATCATAAATGCAGCAACATCGTGACAGTAATTCATATCTTTGCAGAAATATAAATCAGCAAATAAAAATCAATGTGTTGCTGAATCGATGTAACGTCGATGCCTGTCGCGCATTTATAAATCAATAATCGTATAATTTTAGAAATTTTCCTCGACAGTTTGCGTATCGATTTATAAATAAAAGTAAAATGATATTGGCAAATTGATATTTAAAGTTTATATAACTTATAGTTATTTATAGTGCATGTGATTTAAAATAACTTTACATTTTCCAGTCTCTTTCGCTCTGGACAAGAATTTTTCTTACAAGAGCCGAGATGAGAAACTTTCCAAGTTGATCTTGAAGTAAGTGGAAGAGATCCGTTTCTAGTCAGACGCGGCGCGCTTTTGCTACGGATGTATGTACTTCTACTGCTACCCCTCGCTTGTTACGGCCGTTATTACGAAAGTGGAGAATGAAGATAAAGAGACAATAGTAAGTAAAAAAAAGCAGATTTGCAACAATATTTAACAGAGTGTTCTTCACATATGCAAAATATCTATTTAGATATATCTTTATTCACTGCGTCGCAAAAGCAGATGCGATTTCACCAAATCGCACGAATCGCAAACGCGTGTTAGATTGCATTGGTATTAGACGATTAGACGGCGGAGTAAAATCGCGGGATTCCCGCGGATGCGGGGTGTTCCCGTCCGGATGCGCCGGTGCGCGCGTGCCTCGCATCGATCGCCGATCGCTATGGTTACTCGTCAAGCGTCGGCTTGACAGCGACGGCGACGCCGGCGACGGCGAGAGGACGAGGACGGGAACGTCGATCATCCTCCTAGCGTGGCTATACGGTGAGCGGAGAGCCGCGCGGGATTGATCGACGGGGATCCATGTGCGTTCATTGGGACGGAAAGATAAAGAGTGAAGTGCTTTCAGCGATGTGAGAAGAGCGAGTCCCTAGAAGAAGTCATTCTTCCATCATGACCCGTTTCTCGCCTCGAGAGGAAAAAAAAATGGAAAAACGTTGCTCCGTGATCTCGACGGGAAACAGAGCGAGCGAGCGAGCGAGCGTGCGGCGAGGGCGGTGATGCGAAAGGGCGCGAGTCGCAGGGTCGTCTTCAAAGCGGGGCTGTTGAAACGCGCGCGCGCGAGAAACAGGAACCCTCGCAAAAATATGATTCTCCATATATCAAAGTCTATCTCCAATTAGCAATAAAACGTCGATACACGACGAAACATTTTCTCGTTTCTGATCTATTTCCCATTACTAAGTTCTTCTTTCCGTGTAACAACAGCTCAAGGGTTCTCGCGATCGTAGTTTCACCCCTGAGTCGGTAAAGGGATGGTCTTGGCGACGCGAAAGAGACGGAGAGCGTGAGAGGGAGGGAGACGGAATCGCCGCGGGGCATTACGGCGAAGGAGAACGGAGAGAAAGAGGGAGCGGAGATCGAGAGATGGAGTTGTGAAAGGGGGTTGGCGGGAGATGAGAGGGCGACGGGAGCGGCATACACCGGGAGGGCGCGTATAGTGGGGCGCATCGGCGCGGCACGTCGCGGCGCGACGGAGGGTGGCTCTCGCGAGGAGGGGGCGCATCGCGGGCGCAGCGCGAGAGAGGATATTGACATTTTCGGCCGTGGGGCGCGCATCGCGGCGGAGGCAGGAGGGGGTGCGCTGAGGGTGGCGGCGGCGGCGGCGGCGGCGGGAACAGGCGGGGGAACGGAGTACGGGGGGTGCGCGCGCGACGGGGCAGTCGCCTCTCCCTGCCGGATCCTGCAGTATCCATGGCTACGTCGTCCGCGAGGATTTCCCGCGAAAGACCGGAAGCGTGATCGCGCACGGCGGAGGCTCGGGGGTCCGTCGCCACTGCCACGGCAGCGAGGGGGAGAGCGCGAGTCAGCGTGCGACGAGGCAGCAGCAGCGGCAGTGATAACAGCAGCAGCAGCAGCGACAACAGCGACAACAACTGCGACAGGGGTGCCTTCGGGAGCGGCACCCGGGTAGCTTTCTCTGATTGTTCGTCGCGTCTTGTCCCGGTGGGTTTCACGAGAATCTCCCTCTCTCTCTCTCTCTCTCTCTCTCTCTCTCTCTCTTTCTATCTCTTTCTTTCCTATTTCGTACTCTCTCTTTCTTTCCCTCTCCCTCTTGCTGAGAATAGGGTGGATACCGTGCCTCATCCCAGTTTCTCCCCCTCTCTCTCAGGCTACCGCGGGGGCCACGTAACCCCGGCCCCGCCGTTCCCGTACCCCGTCATCGTCGTCGTCGCCGCCGCCGCCCACGACCTTCTCTCCGACTGTCGCGCGCGGCGCTTCCAACATCCCTCTCTCGAAACCGTGTTCTCCGTTTGTCTTTCCTCGCCGCGGTGGTGTCGTCGCGAGAGGACTCTCGCTCGCGAGCACCCAGGCCAGGGCTCCTCTCGCGGGAGCGGCCGGTCCGTTTAGACGAGTGTTCAGGAAGCCGAGAAGGAAGCGTCGCCGTGTCGGTGAGTGTGAGTCATCGTCACGCGGACGGGAGGAGGATAAGGGTGTGTTGGTAGACAAATAGAAAGATGAAGAGTGTGAGAGAGAAAGAGAAAAATGCAGAAAAGGGAGTTAGATAAATAAATAGATAGCTAGACAATTAGAGACGTCGAAAGAAAGGGACCAGATGGAAATACGAGGTCGGAAGGTAGGAAATAACAGGAGAGACGTTTCTCTCCCATCGTCGGCAAGGTGATGGGTGGCGCGGGGCGTTGATCGTATGTACACCGGTGCCGCTCTGGTAGTGGTGGCGGGTAGTGGTGCCGTTGGTGGTGATGGTGGTGGTGGTGGTGGTGGTAGTGGTGCATCCCGCAGTGTGTTTACCCAGGGTGAGGTGCCTCTCGCGCGCGCGACTAGGCGGAGTCGCACCTCTCCGTCCGCTCCCGCTTCCGCTTTTCCGCGTCTCCCCGTGACCGCTTCGCGACGAGGGAGCGACGTGTACCTCTAACCGTGACCCGTTCTCTCTCTTTCTCTGTTTCTCTTTCTCTCTTTTCTCTCTCTCTCTCTCTCTCTCTCTCTCTCTCTCTTCGCGTATCTACCTACTTACTTGTCGTACCTAACGTTGACGTGTCAGAAGAGGCGTTGCCGCGGCGGCCGCGAGTGCAGCCTCCACCCTCAAGGAGGAGAACCGGATACCGCTGGACGTATAATCTAATCCCTCGTCACGCTGACGTTTGTTCTCGTTCCGGAAGGATCTCTGCCTAAGGATACGTCCCCAGGTATCTGCGCTGCGAGTCGATAACGATCACGAGGCTAAATACAAAGGCGTTGGCTCACCTCGCGCCGCTTCTCCGTCCGCGCGTCTCCCGCAGGAAGAAACGAAGCCTCCCGTGACCCATCTCTCTGGCTCATTTGTGCGGAGTTTCGTACGGTTTGATGAAGATTCCGATCGGTATCGCAAACACACGGAGGGCGAATGTAAATGTCACCTCGAGGGCGAATGTAAATATCAATGGGGAATCATGCCTAATCTCTCGGTGTTTTCGATCTTCGCTGAATGTCGCACGACGTGTTTAGCTCAATCCTCTACAGTTATCCAAAAAAGTCCTCGGTTCGCAAACACGTTCGCGGATAAAGTTGTGTGATCTGAAGTCGATAAAATTCACGAGGCGACCTGAAGGCGTTGGCTCTACCCTCGATTTCCTTTCTCGTGCGTTCTAAAGGAAGTGCATGAATTCTCCATGATCTTTTTGCGGTCCTGTGCAACGTGCCAGTTTGGTGATGGGAATATTCCGAGTTTTAAAAATATCTCTACTTTTTACAGGAAAGAGAGAGAGAGAGTGCGAATATTAGTGAATAATACTTGAAATTCAATGAATTATCGATAAAGATTTATGCAAAAATAATTTTAATAGTCGGACAATCTTAGTGGAAAAATATAAAATCTTTTTGGCCTTTTCGTGTGCTAAAAGTAAATGTGCCTTTTTTTAAAATTGGCGATAAAATTGTTCAAACTGTATTGAATATACACTTTGAAAAAATATATATAAATATATCTGATGCGTGATGGTTTCGTGTTCCAATTTAATTTTGGATATAAGTAGAAACACAGTTCTGATTCTGAAAGACCTTGCTGTTTGGACACGTGCAAGTATGAGCTCTGTGAATCGATAACAATCATGGGGGGATATCCAGACATTAATCCTTCTCTCTCTTCTCTCGTAAGTCCTAATAAGGAGAGTGTATAATTCTTACATTCCTCGAAATGGATGTTTGATCGATTTTAATATTAGTGAATATGCTATGAGTTCTTTTCGCTTGCATTCGCGTTAAATTGCCTATCAAAATTCTAAGTGAATAAGAGAGAAATAATTGCTTATCTTTATTCTAATTAGCCGTGTTTGATTGGTGGAAACGCTTCTATTGCACAAGCTAATATTAAACTTAAAAAGAATGAAATATACAAAATTTATTCACGCGAGTATACATCTCATGTATTTATATCGTTTAGTCGTATTTGAATTTTCTAAAATTACTTTAGATCAATAAGTTTTTTGTCTATATTAATAGCTTAATATTTTTATTTTAACATTAATATTAATATTATATTTATAATATTCTTAATATTTTATTCCATATATTCACTGAGAATTTAACGAATTAACTTTTCTAAGTAGCACGATGATCAGTCAAACGAGCCGAGCGGAGTAAGATCGGGTAATCCTCCGGCTCACCTGGATACACGACAGTGGACGGAGATACGGTTTCACACGAACGGGCAATACGAACGTGCACCCGCCATTCATGTTTAGCCACGGACGACGA